TACCGACAGTTCATGTCAGTACTAGGTGTTTTCAGTTTCCTAGGTCATGTTATGCAGGACCGCGGCACCAGTCGTCTCTCTAGATGAGGTACAAAATGCTTAATTTGTGGCACTAACCAGACACCAGCGCGATATAGATTGATGCTGGACTAGTCGATGGCATGATACAGTCCACACTGACGATCAGACTCAGTTCTTGAATCCAAGCTAGACTCTGGAACAAACGTTTTAGATTCTAAGTTTTTTCATAACTAGACGAGTTGATCAGGATTGGGGATTTGCTGGATTAGACTCGGCCATTTTGGCATTATTGGAAGAAACTACGGTTGAGCAGGATGATCTCGTCGTTGCAAAACTTGTAGCCAGATGAGTAAACATTTGTGGTTGATTGCATAGATAAAGCTAGCATTAACGAATGCTTTTAGGAGTAGAGTTCGTCTCAAATACGAAGAGAAGGATGTACAATTCCTGGAAAAAGAAAAGATTTGCAGTTATTTTGGCAGCGTATTCATATGCAGCTATTCAAGTATTTGAGAAATTAAATAGCATAAAAATGACCAATTAGCCAGGCCCAAAATTGGCCATGTATATTCATCTTATAATGCAAAGGCCGGACGCTGCCCATTATATATATAAAAAAAAGCCAGGCCCAAAAAGAAAACGAGCACAACATAAAAGGAACAAAGGTTGCTGTAATTTCAACAATGCTAGCTCTTTTCTGAAACTTTTTCCATCAATTCGATCCTACCAACTCTGCTTAAACTCTTCTTGGATCTCTGACAACTAACGTGCAGCCAACAGGCCAGCCATCTTCTTTATATATACATGGCCTCATTCATGGCTGCTTCTCACCTCATCCTCTGAATCTGATCCATCAAATACCTTGTCTAATGCCTGATAACTGAGAAGTGACAGAAGAAGACGCTGTCATATTGTACACTGATAGAACAGCTGTGCTTGAGTGTAGCTGGGTGAGAAATGTTTGAGCATTGCATTGGCCTCCTACTAGGAGTGGAAGGCATCCGGATAATTTCTGAGAAAGGTGCTTGATCAATCGTTCTCTACTGAAAAATCAAGTACCACCAAACCACACATAAAACTACTGTCATCAAAGATTCTAGCTTTCTCAGACAATGAGAAGCACCACGAATAATTATATATAGTCTATCCTCTATTTTCTTCGTGATAATTTACTAACTGGGTTCCTTTTTTTTTGAAAAAGAATTTCACTAACTCGGTATGCCTGTAAACTACTTGATTGGAGATATAACATCACTATTTTTGTCTCTTTTTGCAGGAGCTGCACATGGGATGTACGTGGCTATATTGGTACTAGCTATGTTAATAAGTGGGACATGATTTCATCGTCCGGGTTCTCCTCGTAGATTATGTCCTCTACATCAAAGTATTCAAGTCATTGTCGTCGAGGCTCTCATCTCATCCTCGCAGTCGATTTCCGCCTCGTCATCGAAGATTTCATCATCCGGATTCTCCTAGCAGATTCTATCATCTACATCATAGCATTCAATGTCACTTAGGCAACCAATAGGACTGTACGATGCCAAGCGTTGCTAGTTTTATATTAGAGCAATTTTACAGTTATTGAGGAGGTATATACCTGCTAAGGACAGTAAAATTTATTTTTTATATTATATTATAAGTAGGGGAAAAACTTTATATAACCACCCAGGGTGAAGAAAAGAAAAAAAAGGAAAAGGAAAGGCAAAACTACATCAGAACATGCTAGGGCGCATTATCTATAAAAAAAAGGGGGGGAGGGCATGCTAGGGCGCTATTCTCGTTGTCTTTCATGGGGTTGTACGTGTCAAGTTAAATGGTTGGGTAACTAGCAAGCTAGCTGTAAACTATGGCTATGGCTAGTTAACGTATATTCACAGTTAAATTTATTTTTACGTTGTAACCTATAGAAGTTAAATTAGATCTTGCATGTTTGTAGAGTGATTTTCACATATTAATATGTCTTGTTGATTTTCTTTTAAAAAAATTTATAATTATTTAGATGACATGCAAACAACGAGTAAATGTCCTCTCGAAAATTTATAATAGTTTACCAAGTGTGATATTATCTTCACTTTCACTGAAGTAGTTTACGTGTATCTGTGTATGCACGGTTTACTGTTTATTTTTCACGCTGCACAGAACATTACTAAAAAAATAACTAATTTGATTAATTATTCATGTTTTGCTGCAGTATGCTGAATTGCCAATCAATTATTTTTTCTGCTTTGCAAATGAATGGCGGGCTCTCTTTCTTGTATCGTCACCATTCCGGCCGCCATCGCCCACATCCCCTCGCCCCTACCGTCGTCGTCTCCACTCCCACCGCCATCGCTGTCCCCGCCGCCAGCTGCCACCCTACCAGGATCTGGCAGTCACCATCGCCGCTGCACTAGAGGCTCCCCTGGCCGCCCGCGCAGGGAGAGGCGTGAAGCCCAACCGCCGCCGCCGTCCTTGCGGCTACGTGGCTCGGCGGCCACTCGGGCGGCGGCGAGGCGGAGGAGGAAGGTGGGGGAGGGGAGGAGGGGGCGGCCGGGTTCGCCTCCCGAGTCGCCCCTGGGGGAGAGCGACGCACATGAATGCTGTTGAAACCTTATTTATGTTTGTGAGTTGGAGACACAATGGACGAATTGTGACGTTCGGGACTTCGGGGTACGCTGTGCGTGTAGGGGTTGTCAATATTCAGTTTTAAAACTTAAGATTCTATATGGACATTCATCCAAAGTTTAGAGGATGCATGCAATTCTTTTTATTATAGTTATGAATATTACATATCATTGACTGTCTGAGCAAGCAATATATTTGTGTGATTAAGGAGAGAAGGATTAGACTGGCCGACATATGTCAAGAAAGGGGATAATGGGGAGTGGATTCTAATCCCTCGAGGGGACATCCCCTCGTATACCTTTTTCTTTCAAATTTGATACAAATAGTTGTGAAAAATTCTAAAAAAAATTGACAATGTAGAGTATAATGATACCTACTAGTCCACCAAAATTCATGTTCCAATTCGATCTACACATCGAGAAAAAAAAAGACAAATTTAGATATAAACAGTACGCTACTATTCATACGCTGAATTTGTCTTTTTTATATCTCGAAGTGTGAGTTGAGTTTGGACTTAAGATTTTGTGAAGTTGTATATATGTGTTGTATGAATGTTGTCAAATTTTTCCAGAATTTTTCATAACCGTTTAAATGATTTTTGAGCAAACGAGGGAACATCCCCTCGAGGGATTAGAATAGTTTCCCGGGATAATGCGCAACGCTACTTGATGGGGGACAAAACTACAGTAAAAATCGAATCGTTCTTGACTATTTTGGTCTTTTGGAGATGTTCGATCGAGCAACCCAATGATGCAAATCCCATGTAAAAAAAACAAATATAGATTTGTTTTTTTCAAAAAGAAGTTAAAATCTTTGTCTCGTATGTATTGATAAAGCAGGAGAAAAACAAACAAAGTAAGGTGTTATTTACAGGCCTTGCCGGAAAAAAACATCACATTATACTCCCTCCGGTTTTATTTTAATTGACGCTTTGGACAATGACATGCTCTACGAGACATACCTTTGACCTTATTTTTCTATTATAATATATACAATAAATAAATGCATGTTTACTTTTATTATAGTGTTTTGAAAGACAAATCTATATATGTTTTTCTAGTTTCTTTGAACTAAATATTTTTAAAGTTATTGATTGTTAAAGTTATAAAAGTTTAACCTCAATCTTGTCTAAAACTTTAATTAATATAGAACCAGAGGGAGTAATGGATACGAAGATTAAGAACATCACGTTAAAAAGTTCCATTATTTCGAAGCAGATATGTTCCAACTTTTCAACCGAAATGATGGTTCCACAGATGACCTTCTAAAGTCGGTCACCAGTCAGCCAGTAACATGGAAGGAGAATGCTGCTGCTAAGTCTGTAAACAGTAAACTGTTTGAGAGATGATGACACGCCGGTGCAGGTAACTGAACTGCGCAGGGACATTTAGTTGATAACGTGAAGGGAAAAAAAACAGATATTTGTCGTTGTTTGTTCCTGCGGAGTGTGCAATCAAGTAGCCCTCCGTTTTAGGTTATAAGATATTTTGACTTTAGTCAAAGTTAGACTATTTTAAGTTTGACTAAGTTTATAGATAAATATAATAATATTTATAATACTAATTTCATTAAATCAATAATTGAATAAATTTTCATAATAAATTTCTACAAACTTGGTCAAACTTAAGTTGAATATATTTTCATAATAAATTAAATATAATTGATTATAGAAAAAATATTATTACTTTTTTCTACAAACTCGATAACTTAAAGCAGTTTGACTTTGATTAAAGTCAAAACGTCGCATAACCTAAAACGGAGGGAATATTTGTTTTCTATTTTGCAAATGAATGGCGGGCTCTTTCTTGTATGCACACCCTATCTCTTGTTTAAGGTGTCAAACAAAAACATTTCTCTTTAATTAAGATCTCTCACACCCTTAACATTTTAATGGCTACACATTTTTTTCCGCATGAGTTGTGCTTTTCACGCCCACTTCTCTCTATCCAATAGCAATTATCACGTACATTTCTCACAAGAATGCTCCTGCAGATGCCTTCCATCCCTAAGAACCCATGCATAGCTCTCTATCATTTTCTTAACCATATTGTTCTATTCATGCAAAAGCTTAGTGCGAGTGCGTACAACGAAGAGACAAATTAAGTTGCAAGTGGTGAGCAGAAATAATATGTATATAGAGTCCAAAGACAACTAGGCAGGTGCTAGATAAGTAATGGAGAGCCTGTGAATTAGTTGAATAACTGATAGATGCACAACCACGATCAACATTGTGTCGAGACGCAATCGAAATTATGGGGGCAAAACATAAAAGGTCTGACAGCTAACGACCGAAAGTAGGGGTAAAAATGCAGAATAATTCGATAATTAGATGCGGCTGTACATGGGATCGATGTACGTGGCTAAATTGGTACTAGCTAGGTTAATAATAAGTGGGACATGATTTCATCGTCCGGGTTCTCCTTGCAGATTATGTCCTCTGCATCAAAGCATTCAACGTCATCAGCGTCGAGGCTCTCATCATCATCATCATCCAATTCTTCCTCGCAGTCGATTTCCTCATCGTCGTCGAAGATTTCGTCATCGGGGTTCTCCTCACAGATTCCGTCCTCCTCATCAAAGCATTGATCAATGTCATCGTCGGTCTCATCATCCAAGTCCTCCTCGCCGGAGAAGGTCGTGTCCTTGGCGGCGGCGATCTTGGAGTCGACGTGGTCATAGTTGCTCTCTGTCGCGTCAGATATCTCTGCGTTCTCGTGCACGACCGCGAAGCTGCTCTCGCTGCCGTCGTGGAGCTCCACGCTGTCGCCGCCGTCGCTGCCGCTGAGGACGACCCAGTCCTCCATGGCCGGCGTGGCGCTCTCCTCCTCCTCCTCGGCGGCTGCTGCTGCTGCGTGCGTAGATCGAAGTATCGAAGCGATCGTGGTGAAGTCTGGTTGGTGGGGTGGTGATCAGATTTCGCTATGAGGTTCAAAGCGGCGAGGCGCGCTGCATATATAGGGGTGGATACGTTACGGGGGGGTAGGATTCGAACTCGGCGATGTCCGTTTCAGTTTCAGAAGCAAGAATCCGAGTTGAGACGGAAATTCGTCGTTGGGAACACCGCTACGACATGAGACGTGAGTCGGAGTTGGGACCGCGTTTGAGGCTGTGACCGTGACCGAGACCGACATCTACTTTCCTTGAGTATTAAGGACTTGTAACCTGTTTGTGTTTGTGTTTTGGGGTTCGTTGCCGGCTCTCTTTGCTGCTGATGATAAGGAGAACATGTATAGGCCTCACGAGTCCTCTCTTGTTACGTTACTTGGTTCATGCGTTTAGTTATTGTAAGTTGCCATCTTATGTACCAAATCCCCTACAAATCGCGCATTTAAAATTTTGTAACTTGAACACGGAGTAGTGCATAACTCTGATGGGGATGTGGACCACGTTTGGTTGGGCCCAGTTTCAGTGAGTTGGGTTTTTACAATGGGGCAGTATTGCCTCGTTGATATCACCATATGTAAACTATTTTTCTTTCTTTTTAAACGTTATATTAATAGTAGTATTACATTGCCTGATTTTTTTTTGCTTTTTAGAAACTTTCATTGCCAAAATAAGACTAGTAAATATAATGGAATATCAACCCCTGTTTTCTTCGATTGAATCTCGACCAAATTTATTCCGACTAAACCCAATTCAAGGATTTTGTTTGTACTTACTACATATATACAACTTGAGAAATTTCAAGAAAAAACAGCCAAATTAGGAGTGACATATACCTGTTGAGTTGTGATCCAAATTCATTTGCACTTAATAAAGACTAGCTTCTACCGTAGTGGAGCATAGGCCCGTCGCCGGTAGATTTGGGCCGGAGCGTACGGATCGTCATCCCTTTTAGGGTTTCTACCATATATATACCTCTTGTAAGCCGCCGTGCGGCGTTGTAACCTCACCCCAGATATAGTGAAGATATTTTGCTGACTGGTGCCCGTGGTTTTTCTTTCCTGTCTTGGGAGGGTTTTTCACGTTAAATCTCGTGTCTTGATTGATCTATTATTCTTTATCGTTTATTTGTCTATCGTTTCATAACAATACTATCACGATCGATCATATGATTCATATCATATATACTCTCTCTGTCCCTAAATATTTGATGTCATTGACTTTTATAAACATGTTTAACCGTTCGTCTTGTTCAAAAAATTTAAGTAATTATTATCTTTTGATTCATTTTTAAATTTAAGTAATTTAAGTTTTTGAATAATATTCACAATAGTTATAAGACGAACAGTTAAACATATTTAAAGAAATCAACGACGTCAAATATTTAAGGACGGAGGAATTACCATATATATAATAAAAGAACATGATATTTGCAGTACTAAACCACAAACTTTATCAGCATCACTCCCTAATAAATCCTTAATTCTAATTCAATGCGCAGATTCGCAGAAGAAGGTACACGACACCAAAGAGCAGGTAGAAGACTGCAAGCGAAACCACCCCGTCTTGGAGTGCGAGCGTATCAGGGAGGAAGGCCGCCGCCGCCGTGTTGCTCGCGCTAACGTCAACGCCAACGGCGAAGCTGGGCGCGGCCGCCATGGCGCGCAGGCCCGTGGCTCCCTGCGACAGCGCCTCCACGTCCTGCGCCGCCAGCCCGCCGGCGGCGGCCTGCATGTACGAATCGATCGCGTCGGCCGCCCTCACCATCGCCGCTGCAGCCTGGTTCCGAGCCGCCGCTTGTTGCATCGCCTGCTGGAACTGCGACGACGTGGACGCCGGCTCGGCCGCCGCCGCCGCGCTATTCCCGCCTGCCATGTCGGCGCTGTCGCCGTGCGCCTCGCCATCGCCGGCGTCGGGAGCAGTGTCGTGGTCGCTCTCACCGGCGTCAGAGGGCTCCTCCTCGTCGGCGCCGCTTGCGTCTCCACCGATCTCCTCTCCGAGCTGCGTGCCATCGAACTCGTCTCCGGTGATCAGCTGATAGAACTCCTCGCCGTCGATGAGCTCCATGCAGCGGCCACAGACGCACACGTGCTCGCACTCCTCGTCGCAGGAGCTTTCAGTTTCATAGTCGTAGAGCGTGTCGCCATAGAAGAAATCCAGGAACTCATCGTTCAAGCCATGGAAGAAATCCAGGACCTCATCGTCCAAGACGCTTTCCTCCTCACCAAAGCTTTCATTGTCAATGCCACCATCGGCGAGAACCTGCAGGTACTCCTCGAAGTCGTCGCCGTTAAGGCTTTCGTAGTCGATGCCATCGTAGCCGCCACCGGCGAACTCCTCGGGCTCCTCCTCATCATCACTCTGCTCGTCGGAGACGCTCTCCTCCTCATACAAGCTCTCACTGTCAATGTCGTCGTACTTGCCGCCGTCGATCTCCATGTCAGAGTCGGTGTCGATGTCGTTGTAGCTGACAGGGACACCGGTGAACTCCGGCCACTCCTCTTCAGCATCACTCTGCTCCATGCAGCTCTCCTCCTCACCGAAGCTTTCGTTGTCAATGGCGTCGTACTTATTACCACCATGCTCCTCCTCCTCCTCCTCATCGATCTCCTCGTCACAATCGCTCTCCTCCTCGTCGTCAATCTCCTCATCAGAATAGCTGTCCTCCTCGTCGTCGCTCTCCTCCTCGTCAGAGCTTCCGGTGTCCACGGATTCATCGTCCGGGTTCTCCGTGCCGATTTTGTCCTCTTCATCAAAGCATTCAGAGCCATCGTCGTCGAGGCTTTCATCATCATCATCTAGGTCGTCCTCGTCATGGGAAGATTCAGTGCTTTCAGTATCTTCGTCAGAATCGCTTTCCAAGTCAGTGGTATCCTCCTCCTCGTAATCGCTCTCCTCGTCGGTGCTTTCTATATACTCATCGGAATCAGTCTCCAAGTCAGAGCTTCCGATGTCCTCCTCCTCGGGATCGCTCTCCTCCTCTTCGTCGTCGAAGATTTCATCATCGGGGTTCTCCTCGCAGATTCCGTCCTCCTCATCAAAACATTCAATGTCACCGTCGGTCTCATCATCCAAGTCCTCCTCGCCGGAGAAGGTCGTGACCTCGGTGGCGGCGTCGATGTTGGAGTCGACGTGGTCATTGTTGCTCTCTACCACGTCAGATATCTCGGCGTTCTCGTGCTCACCTCCGACGATCACCGGAGACACCTCGGCAATGTCCTCCTCTGCCGCGTCGAGCACCGGAGCGTGAGAAGAAGCTGCGACGTGCTCGGAAGCTATTCCCGAGAACGCCTGGCCGTATGAGACGGTCTTAAAGAACCCCGGCGGCGAAGGCGAAGGTTGCGACGGCACGGCCTCCACGGCGATCGCCGGCGTGTCAGCGGCACGACCGCGGACCTGCACGACCGCGAAGCTGCTCTCGGTGTCGGAGCCACCAACGTCGCTGCCGTCGTGGAGCTCCACGCTGTCGCCGCCGTCGCTGCCGCTGAGGACGACCCAGTCCTCCATGGACGGCGTGGCGCTCTCCTCCTCCTCCTCGGCGGCGGCTGCTGCGTGCGTGAGGTTCTCGGCGGCGGCGCTCGTGCGTAGATCAAAGTATCGAACCGATCGTGGTGAACTCTGGTTGGTGGGGTGGTGATCAGAATTCGCTGTGAGGTTCGAGGCGGCGAGACGCGCTGCGTATATAGGGGTGGAATTATACGGGGGTAGGATTCGAACTCGGCGCTGTCAGCTGTGTCGATGTCCGTTTCAGTTTCAGAAGAAATCCAGAATCGGAAAGCCGGAGTTGCCTCCGATTTCTATCGGCTATGGACAAGCGAACACACACGCACGAAGCACTCGGGCTCGGTACATGCTAGCTGATGGGGTTGTGAATTGTGATCAGTGGCGTGCAAGAAAGTAAACTCATTGGCTTAACCACACTGGAAATTTGGCAAAGACTCACGTTTGCAGTTGCAGGGGCCTTCGATGCATGTGCTTCTGCGGTAGTTTATCAGTTATTGGTCTTCTTGCTCGATCGGATGGTGAAATTGAAATATGGAATTAATGCGAATGTACTGCATATAAACTTGCACGAGTTGGGATACAAATCAGGGGGTTGTGTCAATACAATTAAAGATAAAGAAAATCTCAGCTTTGCTACATTTGCTGTTTCTGAAATTTTTTCCATCATTTGCTATCAAGTCTGCTTACACTCTTCTTCCATCTCTGACAGCTAACAATGTTTTAATTATGGATTTTCATTAGTCCAACCTCTGTATACATAAAAGATATACACAGCCAAAACATACACGTGTTCTCTCTTTATTTTTCGCCGGGATGGCGGAAGAAACGCCGTCCTGTTAGGATTTACGTGAAATATTGTTTCATATGGTTTGGATAGGGTTGTTAGCTCTAAATAGAGTTTGCTGTTATCCCTCCGTATTAGGAGATGAGCTCAACAACCCTGCCGGCTGTATATATGCATGTACTTGTGATCAGCCCGTTTTTGAGGCTTCTGAATTAACACGAAACCACCCACTGAGGTGTTCTCCACGCTTGCATCTCTGTTCTTTACATGGTATCAGAGCAAAAACTCGATCTATATTAGATCTCATGGCGAGTTCCTCCTCCTCCACCGCTTTTGCAAATCCTTTGTTCGGCGTCCAAGTTTCTGAGAAACTCACCAAGCAAAATCACTCCCTCTGGTCGGCACAAGTTCTCACAGCCCTAAGGGGCGCGCGACTGGAGGGCCATGTCCTCGGAACATCCGTTCCACCAGAAGCCGAGCTTGAGCAGAAGGAAGGAGAAAAAGGAGAGAAGACCGTCAGAGTCCCAAACCCGGCGTATGGCGAATGGTTTGCCACGGACCAACAGGTCCTTGGTTTTCTGTTCTCCTCTCTGACCAGGGAGATTCGGTCGCAAGTCGCAGGCGCACCGACGGCAGCCGCGGCATGGAAGACGATCGAGAACACGTTCTCGACACGATCTCACGCAGGCGCGATCAACGTTAGATTGGCTCTCACCACCACTCAGAAGGGCCAATCGACTGTCACCGAGTACGTCAGCAAGATGCGTGCTCTCGGTGACGAAATTGCTGCAACAGGAAAGCCAATAGATGATGAAGAACTTGTTGCTTACATTATTAATGGTCTTGATTCAGAGTTTGATCCAGTGGTGGAAGCACTCATCGCCAAGAATGCATCTGTCACTGTTGCAGAGGTCTACTCACAGCTTCTTGGCTTTGAAAACAGGGTGAAGATCCGAACAGCGTGCGCTGCTACGAGTGGAAACCGTGGCAGCGGAAATCAGGGACGTGGTGGCGGCAACCCTCGCGGCCGCGGCACTGGACGCGGCGGCGGCGGCAGCGGTGGCCGAGGTGGCGGGCACGGCCGTGGCAATGGACGCGGCGGCACTGACAACAGACCTACCTGCCAAGTCTGTCACAAGAAAGGGCATGTGGTGGCGGACTGCTGGCACCGCTACGACGAGAACTACGTCCCCGATGAGAAGCTAGGAGGCGCTGCGACGCACGCTTACGGTGTTGACACCAATTGGTATGTTGACACCGAGGCAACCGACCACATCACCGGGCAGCTGGACAAGCTGACCACACGGGAGAAGTACAAGGGCACCGACCAAATCCACACAGCTAGTGGTGAAGGTATGGATATACAGCATATTGGTCATTCCTATGTACCTACATCTAGCCGTCCCCTCCATCTTAAAAATATTTTGCATGTTCCTAAGGCATCAAAAAATCTTATTTCAGTTCATAGACTTGTTGCTGATAATTATGCATTCCTTGAGATTCATCAAAAGTATTTTTTGATTAAGGACAAGGTCACGAGGAGGACAATTCTTGAAGGACCATGTCGGCGCGATCTCTACCCTTTGCCTGCCGGAGATCCAATAAAACAAGTCTTTGCTGTGATGCCATCGTTCGAGCGATGGCATGGTCGTCTAGGGCATGCCTCAAAGCCCATTGTTCTTAGGGTTATTAATCAAAATAAATTGCCTTGTAGCAATGAGTCTCCTAGTGAGTCTGTTTGTGATGCTTGTCAACAGGGAAAGTCTCATCAGTTGCCATTTCCTAAGTTTTTTAGTGTTTCTAGTAATCCTTTGGAACTTATTCATTCAGATGTATGGGGTCCTGCCTCTGACTCCGTTGGAGCCAAGCGCTATTATGTGAGTTTTATTGATGATTATAGTAAATTTGTGTGGATCTACTTTCTTAAATTTAAGTCTGAAGTTTTTGAGAAATTTAAAGAGTTCCAAAGCATGGTTGAGAGACAATTTAATCGTAAGATTCTAGGCATGCAAACAGATTGGGGAGGAGAGTATCAAAAATTGAATTCCTTCTTTAAGCAAATTGGCATAGCACATCAAGTGTCGTGCCCTCATACCCATCAACAAAATGGTGCCGTTGAACGGAAACACCGTCATATTGTTGAGATTGGGCTATCTCTCCTTGCTCATGCATCTATGCCTTTGAAATTTTGGGACGAAGCTTTTCTTGCAGCCACTTATCTCATTAATCGCTTGCCTAGAAAAGTAATTGACTTTGACACACCTCTTGCACGCCTTTTTCACCAACAACCTGATTATAAATCTCTTCGAACTTTTGGTTGTGCTTGTTGGCCTAATCTTCGTCCCTACAATACTCACAAATTACAATTCCGGTCCAAACAATGTGTCTTTCTCGGTTTTAGCAATTTACATAAGGGGTTTAAGTGCTTAGAAGTGGCAACCGGTCAAGTCTATATTTCCCGTGATGTCACCTTTGATGAACAGGAGTTTCCTTTCTCCAAGCTTCAGCCAAATGCTGGAGCGCGTCTACGTGCTGAAATTTCCCTTCTTCCTGCTGATCTTACATCGCATGCATCTGATCAAGGGGGAGTAGCACATAGCAATGATCATATGCATAATATCCTACCTGTTGTTACTGATTCCTCTTTTGAGAATGATGCTGCAGATGACACAGATGCTAGCGACAGCAATGCAGAAATTAATGCAGAGCAACCTGATGGAATTCATCCTGGTGCATCTACCGGGGTACACACAGCAGAAACAGAAGTGGCGGCAGAATCGCCGTCTCGTACTGATCAGCGGCGCGCCGTGCAGGCCCCTGAGCAACCTGCGACCGTCACCGAACCAGCAGCCGCCACGTCGTCGGCTGTACAGAGCTCCCGCGCGAGTTCCCGCTCCATCGCAAGCCACCACCAGCTCGGAGGTGACACATCGCCAGGGCCTCATCATGATGCGGCAGGATCGTCTGCGGCTCCGGAGGTTATCGCTGCAACAGAGCAAGGTGATATTAATGCTAGACCAAAAACTAGACTCCAAAGTGGGATTAGAAAAAAGAAAATTTATACTGATGGCACAGTCAAATATGGTTGTTTTACATCATCTGGGGAACCACAGAACCTAGCTGAGGCTCTAGGAGATAGGAACTGGAAAGAGGCCATGGACAAAGAATATTATGCATTAATGAAAAATGAAACATGGCATTTAGTTCCTCCTAAAAAGGGAATTAATATTATAGACTGTAAGTGGGTCTATAAAATTAAAAGAAAGGCTGATGGGAGTTTAGATAGATACAAGGGTAGATTGGTTGCAAAGGGTTTCAAGCAGAGGTATGGCATAGATTATGAAGATACCTTTAGCCCAGTTGTTAAAGCTGCAACCATAAGAACTGTTCTATCCTTAGTAGCTTCTAAAGGTTAGAGTCTTCGTCAGTTAGATGTTCAAAATGCCTTCTTGCATGGAGTTCTAGAAGAAGAGGTGTATATTAGACAGCCACCAGGATATGTAAAATCTAAGGCACTTAACTATGTGTGCAAACTAGATAAGGCATTGTATGGATTGAAACAGGCACCTAGGGCCTGGTACTCGAGGCTAAGTACAAAGTTGAATGAGCTGGGGTTTGTGTCATCAAAATCAGATACATCTCTGTTTTTCTATGATAAGAATGGAGTTACTATGTTTATGCTTGTATATGTTGATGACATCATTGTGTCTAGCTCTTCCGAAAAGGCCACCTCAGCTCTTCTGCAGGATTTGAATCAGGAGTTTGCACTGAAGGATTTGGGAGATCTTCACTTCTTCCTAGGAATTGAGGTTAAAAAGGTAAATGATGGGCTAGTGCTAACACAGGAAAAGTATGCCTCAGATGTCCTGAGAAGGGTAGGTATGAGTGACTGTAAACCAGTTAATACACCTCTGTCCATCTCTGAAAAGTTGTCAAGTCAAGGGGGAGCTCTCCTTGGTCCCAATGATAGCACTCAGTACCGCAGCATAGTTGGAGCATTGCAGTATTTGACATTGACAAGACCGGATATATCATTTTCAGTAAACAAGGTATGTCAGTATTTACATGCTCCAACTACAGATCATTGGGCAGCGGTAAAAAGGATATTGAGGTATATAAAACATACTGTGAAACTTGGTCTACAGATTAACAAGTCTAGTTCTTTGCTTGTTAGTGCATTTACTGATGCAGATTGGGCAGGCTGTCTTGATGACAGAAGATCCACTAGAGGATTTGATGTTTTTGTAGGACCCAACCTTGTATCTTGGAGTGCACGAAAACAAGCTACAGTTTCTAGATCAAGTACTGAAGCTGAATACAAGGCATTGGCAAATGCAACAGCAGAAATTATGTGGATACAAACATTACTTCAGGAACTTGGTGTAAAAGGGCCTAGAGCCGCTAAGGTATGGTGTGATAATATTTGAGCTAAATACTTAACAGCAAATCCAGTTTTTCATGCCAGAACAAAGCATATAGAGGTGGATTATCATTTTGTTAGAGAACGAGTTGCTCACAAGTTACTTGAGGTGTAACGCTCCGCTTTTTGCGTGACATTAAAAACTAATTCGGCAAAATCCTAATTGCGAAAATTTCGTTCTTTGTGTGCGAGTCTAAGTTGTGCCATGGATCTCAATTCAATCTCCATCGTTGTTCCCTTTCGTCGCCATCAAAATCCACCACCTCAAGATTCCAATTCCGATTCAAGTCTCTGAAATCAACATCCTGAAATCAATCGTCGATTCTTTCGTCCCTATCTCTCTCTCCCTCTCTCTAATCAATCTGCCTACCTACTATCTATCCATCGATCTGTCTATCGATCTTCCTATTCGTTTATCTACCCATCAGCCGATCTATCTGTCTATGTATCGATCTACCTATCTATCTAACTAACCAGCTGTCTATCTATCTATCAATCTATCCGTCCCTCTACCCATCTACCTTTGGAACCTATCCCATACCATTGTCCCAACTCCAAAGATAGGTCTCACTTGAATCCCTCTCATCTAATCCCTCGGACCGCCGAGTATAACTTTGCTCCAAAGAAACACCGAATTCTCGCTTGGGTGCTTCCCCTTGACTCCTCCCTGCTTTGTCAGACCAAGCCTCAAGTTCGAAATCCAAATTCAATTTCCAAATCTCATATCCCTCCGAATCGATTTCCTCGGAAAAAGTCTAATTTACCTCCCTCGGTTGTTGTGGGCCGTTTTTTTTTTCCCTCGGCCCATCTCTCTCCCTCAGCCGCTCCTTCCTCCCTCGCGTGCCTCGCGCGTGCGCCGCTCTGAGCGAGGGCGCTCGCTCTCTCTCCCTCGTCGAACTCCCTCTCACCGGCGCCGATTTCCCGCCGCCGCCGTTCGAAATCCGGCCGCACCCTCGCGTCGCGCGCGCGCTCGCCCGCGCGTGGCCGACTGCCCGGTCGCCGCCGCGTCAGCCCTGGCAGCCTGCGCCACGCAGCCGCCCATGCCGCCCTGCCGCTTGCCCCCACCTCTGTGCGCTTGCGTCCAAAACGTGGAGCCAGAGCTCGCGCTCCCATCCTTCTCTCCCTCCCCAAAATGGCATGGTCGAACCCCTCCTTTCCACCCTGCCCTTTTCCTTTTTCCCTCCCGAGCTGGACCTCCTCTGCCGCCCGTGAGCGCCAGCCGCGTTCTTGACCGCGCCAGCTCGCCATCCTTGCACCCTCAACCGCCCTATGTCGGTTCCTCCCCCAAACCGCCTTCCCCACCCTATAAAACCCAAGCTGAGATCCCTCCCCATCCCAATCAATCGCGTTTTGCTCCTCGCCTCGACCACGCCATTGCCGCCGTCCCACTGTTCTTGCCGTCGCCGTCCGTCGCCAAACACCGAGGGAACCGGTGCGTGCGTGGGCGTGTGACGCAGGACTCCGGGCACCCTCCTTCCTCCCCTTCCCCGGCCTGAGGCCGAAGAGCTCGCCCCGCGCC